TTAATGTAATTGCTTTTATTACTTAATAAAGTTTCTACTTTGGCATAACAAAAAAAAAAAAAAAAAAAAAAAAAATAGATTAGAGCTAAAAATGCAGACAAATTTGTTTGTATTAGTTTACAATTTAAGAGATAGTTTTATAAGATTTTTCTTCTTTTTAGTTTTTTTAAAAAAATCTTATTCTCATTTAGTATTTAATCTTCTTTTCTTCTTTTTTATTTATAATTTGTATTCTTTCAATATTTTGGTTTTAAATTTTTTGTCTATTATAGTTACAATCAAAATCTATTTTTATTTATTTGTTTTTTTCTTTAGTTTTTTTTTTAACTAATTTTATGTATTTGTTTTCTTCTAATATTGCTTTTATATATTGTAGGTTTTCTTAAATTGTATTATCTTTCAAGTTATATATTGGTATTTTAGTCTAATATGAGCTATTTGTATTATATAGTCTATTTATAAATACCTAAATGTTTTATTTTAGTGAAATATAAAGTTTCTTTGCTTATTGTAACTGTACTCTTTGTCTATTACTTTATGTTATTTTTGTTTCTTGTTTATTATTAATAATATTATTTTTGTACTTTTTTTTACTCTTTTTCTAATTCTTTTATTTCTAATTTTTATCTTTTTTTATTACATTTTATTTGCATATTCTTATTTTCTATAATAATTTTAATTTTTTATATTTTATTCTTTTTTTAATTATTTCTTTTGGTTTTATATTTAGAAAATAATATATTGACTTTGAATTCAGACTCATAATTTTAATTCTTTAAATACAGTTTTTAATAACTTTATTTTGTAACTATGTCTTTTTGTTTTTCTTAATATTACTATTATGATTATATAGAAACAAATTATATATTATAATTTTATTTATATCTTTAATTATTAAACTTTTTATTATTAACTTTATATTAGCTAGACTTAATAATTTTGCTACATTTAAAACTTTAACTAGTTTCTTATTATTTATATATTTAACTACTTTCGCTTTGTAATTATTAACATTTTCAGCAAACTTTGTATTTATATAGTTTCTATATATATTAAATCTTTTTCTAGATTTTTTACATATGTTATATGTGTTTTGTTTACTTTTTGTTTGTTTGTTGTATACTTTATCTATTATCAAATTTGTATGTATTTATATTTATTTACTTCTGCTTTTGGTTATATATTACTATTTATTGTTTTCAAAATTAACAATAATTTTCAAAAAATTCTAAAAATTTTTGAAAATTTTCTTGTTTTCTTATTAGTGTCTTTTAATTCTTTTAACTACTATGTCTTTATATTATTTCTATATATTTTGTCTTGCTGCTTTTTTTTTTTATAATACTTTTGTACATTTTCTATGTTGTTTCTTGAGTTATTGTTGATTTGTATTTTTTTCAAATTTGTAAAAAAAGATTAGCAAAAAGAGTTGATTCTAAATGTATTATAAAAAATTAATAAAATTTAAAATTAAATAATTAAAAATAAAATTTTATTTAAATCTAATGAAATAAAATAGTTTTTGGATAAAAACCTTCTGAATTCAAAGAAAAAAATATTAAATAAAAAACATTTCCAATTACTTTTACTTTATAATAAAATTCTAAATTGTAAAAAGAGATTTTTAATTAAAAAATTTTTAACTATTAAAAAATTTTTAATTAAACTAATTTAATTAAATTTGTTACATAGTTTTGTTAATTAATTAGTTTAGTTTAAAGGTTTAATACTAGTTAAATTAGTTAAATTATATATACTATATAGATAAATAATTTTAACCTTTTTGACCAATACTAAATACTTGACCAAACCAGTCGAATTGGTCAAATTGGTCGGCCATTGACCAGTCCATGCCAACTCTGAATTTATTAGGTTTTTAGTCGAATTTACGATGCATAGCATAGGTTTCGTGGTTATCATGCATCAACGTTTTCATATTAATAATTCTTCCAGTATTTTTAAAGAATCAAATTTAAATATCAATACGAATGCGTTTATACAATAACATTAAAATCCTTTAATACCTACAGTTTTAAGTTGTTACACTATTCAATAAACTAAGATAGCATGTCCATAGAATACCAATAGAACTAACAAAAGGTAGCCGATATCTTAAAGGAAGAAATCTGAAATTAATAAATTGAACAAATGGCCAAATTGCATAATTTGCTTTTAAAGCAGGAATATAGGCCTGAAGATTTATGAAATAAACGTATTAAATATTACGATGTTGGTGCGCAACGATAGTAATAGCGATAAAAATTATTTACCTCATAAAATTTTTGTTTAATACCATTACTATCATGACCTTCAAGTACACCAATAATGCTAAAAAATAAAAATAATCCAAAAGGTGCAAAGGCAATTTGATCTACAGTGACTCTTTTGATTACAGTGCTCATTTGTGAAGCCATCAGATTCTTACTAATTTTTATTTGAGGCAATGGAAGTCTTTTGTCTAAAAAAGAAAACCAAGTATGAACAACTGGAGCAACTAAAAATCCATAAGATGAAAATCTTAAAGTGCGAATATAATCAAAGCCTCTATTATTCACGGATGCTTCATGAATCTTTTGTACAGATTTTGCGGTAATTGAAGACGACTCAGGTTTTATTGCAGAAATTGGTTCTTGATACTTGTTTTTGTTTGCTAATGTAATACATTGAGCCAACGTATCAGATATTGAAGCAAGAAATGCATTTGCACAAGCTGATGTAAGCACAGGACGACTTTGATAACTATTAGTGTAGATACGATTTGCTAAGACGAAGACTCTTGCCATCCTTGAAAAGATATAATTCAAGATTGAATTCAGCCTTGAATTTCGTACGTGCTGTTATACAGATTATAATAATGACATCATATCATAAATATTTGAAGCGTCATTCGGCAAAGACAGAGGCTTCTCTTATACTCTAAACAAAAAAAAATTTTTTGAGATTTTATCAAAAGGCGTACACAATGCAAATGGTTTGGACTAGCAAAATAATACTAGTTTATAATACGTTGCTTTTAGATAGATTAGCGTGCAACCAAAATTCAGAAGATCGGCCCGGATTATGGGTCGGATTTCATCGGATTTAGGCTGGCATTAAGAAATAACTAGATTACACAGCTAGGGATGTATTACATAAATTTCTTTGTTACGTTTCATGTAAATTACATTGTAACTTACGAAATTGTAATGTAACTTTACAGATAATTTTACTGACATTACAAAGCTTAGCCAGCACTAAAAGATATCCATCATTATGTAATTCTTACTGTATTTCGCGGGCCAAACCACCCCTCCCCTGTCGGATCATGCGGATATTTCCATGGTGCATATCAAATTAATAACTTGTACGTTGTTTTATCACTACAGTATACGTAGAAAACCAATCGCCGGTACGTAGTAAACATAACAAATATATTATGCATCCGCATGCACCATCAAAATATCCATATTATCCGGTAATTATTTTACAGGGAGGAGGTGGTTTGGCCCGCGAAATACGGTACTTATTTTAATTAATGCCAGTGTTATAAACATTTTTGGAAAATTACATTTCAGGAACTTACACAAACTTCGTAAAATTAAAGTAATTTTCTAATCCTAATTACGGCAAAATTATCATCTGGGCAGCTTTAGTTAGTGAGTGGGCTATGGTTTCATTAGTAAAATTTTGCGCTGCTAATTTATCCATTGGCAATACAAATACGTAACAGGAGGAACCATTGATGTTACATGACTGATCTTTCAAAAAACTAGTATTCATTGATTTCATTCAAAGTTTAATTGGTTCCATTCGCAGCTATATTATGTTTCATTACCAAAATAATAATATGAATTATAATTTCATTAAAGTAGTTATTAGAATTTTTTTTTTTTTTTTAATATTAAGACAAATACTTGTGACCCAGGAGTTTATTGGTAATAGTTGGCATATAATTATTGTATACAATAGTTACAGAGGCAATTATAGAAAGAGTGTACAACTAGTCACTTGTATAACTTTAATTATTGTCTATTTTAAGTAGTCTGTTTAAAGGTTTTATACTAGTTGTTATACTTGGAACTCATCTGTAGATTTTCTATTTAAATCTTTTAGTTTTCATATTCATTCTTACCTTACCAATTGCAAATTAACTATAAATATGCTATAGTTATTAAGTCATGTTTAATTTTGTACTAAGCTCACCAAAGTCTTTTATATCTTATATTTACAGTTGATCAGATATCATTTTAGTTTAGACTATCACTTGTAGTTAAAGTTAATTATTAAATTATTATACTTTTATAAAGTTTACTAGAATCCTGATACCATTTTTTTTTAATATTTACTTATTATTTCTGAATTTTTCAAACTACCAATTCAAATGGCTTGGTATAATATCTTGAAATTCTTTTTCTTTAATGATTTCTGATAGCCTAGTTGATATGTATTCTTTTATATATATTGTTATCTGATTCATTTTAGTTATTCTTTTTTAGAAGTTTTTGATAGTTTAGTAGTATTATTAAAAATCTATGTTATCTCTTTATTCAAAATTTTTAAGTAGATTTTTGTGTTTTGGTTTCTTAATATTATGTGCTTGGTGGTCTTATTATGAGTTTGTATTAAAATCTTATACAATACTAGTTATTAACATTTCTCTATATATATATATAATATTATACTTTGTATAGATGTTCTGAGCTCTTATTCAAGATAATATTCTTAAAATTACAGATTATTTTTTTTATCAACTGATTGACAAAATACAGTTATTATAATACAGATATATTTTTCAAATTTTATTATCTATAGAATTTGAATACTAGACCTGTCATTTAGAAGTTGACAATTTGTTCATTTCACTAGGTTGACATATCTCTTATTAGAAATTTAAAAACAATTTGAATTGAAATAATAATATATAAAGAAGTTAGAAATTTTTTTAAAAAATTTTAAAGTATAATTATATATTTGATCAAATTTTTAATATATTATTGAATAAACATTAATTTGTCTTTTTTTGTATATATTAATTATATATATTTTTTTAAATATTAAGATAAATACTTATAATCTAAAATTTTATTAATAATATATTTAGTTAATAGTTATATTATAACTATAAAGAACAATCATAGAAAGAATATACAACTAGTCATTTATACAATTTTAGTTATTGTTTAATTTAAGTAGTCTGCTTAAAGATTTTATACTAATTGTTATATTTAAAACTTATTTATAAGTTCTTTATTTAAATACTTTAGTTTTTATATTTATTCATTTATCTATATCTATCAATAACTCTAATTAATTATAGTAAAAATATATATATTATGATTACTAAGTCTTTAAAGCAGTTTACTTATATAAAGAACTTTTGACCTTGTACTAAACCTTCTAGAATCTTCTATATTCTATTCTTATAACTAACTTGGTAATGCTATAGCTAAAACTAACACTTGCAGTTAGAATATATTACTTACTTTATAATATATTCTTTCTACTTTAATATTCAATTTAAGTTCTATTAAGCTTCTAGTTCAAATAGTTCAAAAAAATAGATACAATCATACCTCTAATTTATATGTTTTTTAGCATATAACTTTTTTCTCTGAAATAAATTTCAGTGTTCTAGTTAATTACAACAGTTCTTTTTTAAAGGTTATATCTTTATTTGGCTTTACAAGTTTTAGCTTTATTTTATAAGTCTAGTCTTTACAATAGTACTATCAAAAATTTAGACTATTTCTCTAGTCAGATCTTCTAAATAGATTTCTATCTTTCTGATTCTTATAATTTATATGATTACAAGAATTTATTATAAGTTTATATTATTTAATACTAGTTTGTATTTTTTTATACAAAGTACAACCATTACACAAATGCTATATAACCTTTTAGTTATGCTGGTATAACATAAATAACAAATATTTGATTCCAACCAATAGTATAAGACAATTAATTATAATATAGAAAGAATTTTAAATTTTTGTTGATACTGGGATTTAAACTCTAAACCTGTTACTTGGAAGTTAACAATATAACTACTTTACTATATTACTATGCTTTTTTAGTTATATTTTATTTTATTTATTATTATTATTATTATTATTTTAAAGATTATACTCTATAGTAATTATTTTATTAACATATATAAAGTTAGTTTACAATTATTTTTATAAAGATAAGAGTATAGTTAATTATATATACAACTTTTAGCTATTTATTTAAGTAATCTGTTTTAGAGTTTTATATTAAATATTATACTTATAATTTACTAAGATTATTTATTTAAATCTTTGAAGTGTAACAACTTAGTGAAATAAATAGGTTGTTAACCTTCAAATGACAGGTTTAAGGTTCAATTTTTATAGACAACAAATTTTAGAAATTATATCTGTGTTTTAGTAACTGTTTCTTGATAATCAATTAGGTTTTGGGCATCTATAATCTTAGGTACACCAAGTCAGATTCTATCTAACATTGGAAGCTTGAAGCATCTATACAAAGTATAATATTATATGTATATAAAAAAATATAAAAAACTGGTATCATATAAGATTTTAGTGCAAATCTATAATAAGACCACCAGGCATAGAAGGTTAAAAAACTGAAAAAACAGAAACTTACTTAGAAATTCTAAGTAAAAAGATAGCACAAACTTTTAATAATGCTGTTGAACTAATAAAAATTCATAAAACATCTTTATAGAAATTGTTAGATAAACCAGATAACAAGATATGTAAAGAAGCATATAACCAACTAGGCTTTTAGAATTGTTAGAAGAAAAGAATATATAAATATACCATCTGGATTGGAAGTCTAAGAAGTCTGTTAGTTCTAAGTTGCAGCTAGTAGAAGATGATAATGAAAACATTAAAAAAAATATGTACCAAGGTTTAGATAAACTTTATAAGAGTAATAGCAGTTTAATAAATAACTTTAATTACAAGTATTGGTCTTAGCCATAGCAAAAAATTCAGATTAGCAATAGATAAAAAATATATAGCTTATTCTAATAGGTTTACCTTTGAGGATAAAATTGTTCTAAGTTTGAAATAAGAATCTAGATACAAGTGATCTAGTAAAGTTGATATAAAGGTTTCAGATCAAAAAGTTTAAATAAAACATCTAAGCAAATATGTTAGATATAATAACTAGTAGAGAACCTCTAGATGAATTCTTTAAATAGATAATATAAAAAAGTTATATATATAGCCAGTTATATACTTATTATAATGCTTGACAAAAGTATTATAAAGTCAAAAAATCAAAGTGATCATCTTAAATACTAAAAAAAAAAAAATTTATTTAAATTTTTTGATCATTTGTCTTGTTAATTATTTAATTATCACAAAACTTCTATATACTTAATTAGTATATTATCTAAGTAATATTGTATTTTTTCTTTTTAAACTGATATTTAGTTTATTATATATTTTAAATATAACACTTACTAATAAGACTTAGAAAGTCTTTGTTGTTAATTACTTACTTACTTTATAGATTATTAATAAGGATTTGTCTTTATAGAGTTTACTTGTATCTATATATTTGCAAGCCAGCTATAAGTCTTGTTTATTTAAACTTTTTGCATATATAGTCTAACATGTTTTATAATAACATCTTCAAGACTACATTCATTCAAAGTATCTGATGCTTTCAAAACTCTTAAAACTAATTTATTCTTAATAAAAAATTTACTAAAACTTTTCATATCCTATATATAGCTAACTTAGTTTTATATAACTTGCTATAGTTGTCTAATACTTGCAGTTATAAAGATTATCTGTTTAACTACTAT